TTTTTTCTTTTTTAAATATTTCCCAAATGATGTTTAACAGAGCAAGGACATTTTCACAGTATGTCTGATAATATTTTTTCTTCTGAAGAAAGTCTTATTTGTTTTATTTCGGCTAGAATAAAAGCAGTTATACATTTTTTAAAAACCATTTTTGGGACAAAATCATTAGCCCCTTTGAGCTAAATTTTTTTCTGATAGTCGACAGAACAAACCATCATTATACAATAACTTGCCTAATTACCCTAACCTGCCTAGTTAACCTAATTAACCTAGTTAAGCCTTTAAATGTCACTTTAAGCTGTATAGAAGTGTCTTGAAAAATATCAAGTAAAATATTATTTACTGTCATCATGGCAAAGATAAAATAAATCAGTTATTAGAAATAAGTTTTTAAAACTATTATGCTTAGAAATGTGCTGAAACAATCTTCCCTACATTGAACAGAAATGGGGGGAAAAAATAAACAGGGGCGCTAATAATTCAGGGGGGCTAATAATTTCTTTCTTCAACTATATATATATATATATATATATATATATATATATATATATATATATATATATATGAGATGTATGGAAAAAGTGCAAAGCATCTGTTGAGTGCTCATATCATTGTGTGCTGATGTTTTTGGCTTAAATTTGATGAAACTGACTGTGTTTTGCGCAATAAACATTACTTGCCGAAACATCTGTGAACATGTGCTTTTTGTGATGGCAGGTGTCTCAGCTACTGACAGATCTGTTTGGCGAGGTCTGTCTTCCTTTCTACAAGGCTGAACTCAAACTGGAAGCAACGACCAAAAGAAAAGCTTTAAAAGTACCAGACCTCACTTTGATTCTATGTGGTCTCAAAATTGAGTTTTTACACTCTCGCATGTCGTCTCTGTACCTAAAAATAAACTGTGATTGTCTTACCACTTTTCAGAATGCATGCGATGTCTTGAATGGGAGTTGCACATATCGAGATGAGAAGTGTAAGCACCCATGGTTGTGTCTCTTCATCTGGGCAGTGCTGCAGAACCGCAGAGAGATGGCCATCTTCTTCTGGGAAATGGTAACATGCTCCTGAAGACATGCTAGAGATTTATCTTGATTCGCATTTTAGACAGAACCACTTTAGCATAATAAGATGCATTTATTAACAAATGTATCTTTGGTAACAATTCTCACTCCATTGGTATAAACACATAGAAGAGTTCTGTACACATATTTTTTAAAACAAGAGAAGAGTGTTTCTACAGGTGGTTTGTCAAGCCCACTCCCCTGTGTGAAACAAAATTCATAAATGCACTGTCTTTTTTTTGCTGATTGTAAGAACATGTCTGGTGCTAATGTGTAAAACTGGGGCAAGTGTCTCTTATGCCGAGTTCAGACTGCATGATTTTCAAAGTAGTCATGTCACAGATGTTTTCACACTGCTTGACTCTCTGGGCTAGCGTTTTGTGGCTACTTTGTTTACACTAAATGTTAATCAAAGGTGGCAACACCAAGGCTCCAAAAATACAAATTTATTAAATTAAAAAGGCTGACACCAAGCGTGTAACTGTAATGAAGGGGCTGACACAGAGGGATCCATTTGCTGTAGATTTATTAAACACAGTTTAATAAACACAAGCACACAGATGTAATGCGTGTGCGAACTCACATCAAACACAATCGTGTTACGTTGAAGCATCAACGGCAGGTAATCACAGTATGAATGTTCAGGCATGGGTCAGAGGCAGGCGGCGAATATCAGAGTCAGAGTCCAGGCTAGAGTTCAAGGCAGGCAGCTAGAATCAGAGTCGGTAATCAGGCTGGAGTACAAGGCAGGCGACTGGCAGGACGAGGTCGGAGAACAAGGCAAGGTAAGCAACGGGAATGCAGGCAGAGTAAAGAACCGCTCAGTAGTGTTCGCCGGGGCATAACAAGACTTCGCAATGAGTGAGTGTGTGAGTGCTGCTTATAAGCGTGAGCGTGGGTGATTAGGTGGATGCGCTTCAGGTGTGTAGGCTATCAGTGTATATGGATGATGTAATGGTTAGAAGTCCAGGGATGGTGACCTCTGCTGGCCAGCGAGGGGAATGACTGGGACCGAGTCGGTGACAGTAACATTTCGAGCCACACAGCTCTTCATCAGACAATGCTCATCACAATAAGGTGCACCTATTTTTACACTACCGGATCACATGATATCCTCTCGCATATGTCCACATAAACATACATACACAATCATTCATACACACATATACATAAATACATATGAATACATGCATACACAATCATATATAAGCACAAAAAGTGTCCAAATAGGTGCACCTGATTGTGATGAACATTGTCTGATGAAGAGCCGTGTGGCTCGAAACGTTACACGCTTGGTGTCAGCCTTTTTAATTTAATAAATTTGTATTTTTGGAGCCTTGGTGTTGCTGCCTTTGATTAACATTTAATTTGCACCTTATGCGTTTTTTTTGGCTGAGGACCCAGTTAAGAGGGATGTGCATGCTTTTGTACAGTTTTTTCATTACTTTGTTTACGCTGCAAGATGCATGACTTTACAATAGAATGAATCGCCAACAACTATGTCCAAACTACGTCTTACAGCCAAAAACATGTAGTATATCTTTTGTTATTAACTACATAACGAGACTGACCCCTGTAATGGGGTAGAAAATGTACATATTTGCTCACCTGGGACTGAAGGGAGTTAGCAATTTCTCCTCAACTTTCTTTTTTGACCTGATTGTGATATTGAACACATGACACGTCAAACAGACACGGGTGCTCCGGCCAAATTTCCACTAGTTTTTCCTCCATTTTTGGGTCCAAATAAACTGAAAGTGAGCACTTTTAACTTTTCCCCCAACCTCCCGCTGGCCTGCAGATCCCCACACTAGTGGATGCTGCTCTCTCATTGGCTGAGAAACATCGCCGATGTTATTTTCAGTCAAAACTCAATTCACACGGCATGATTTGAATCGCCGACAGCTCCAGATATTTAGCATGCCAAATATCTCACAGGCACTGGCGACTCATCGGCGATTCTCTCAGATCGCGTCTTTGATAGTTCACATTGTGTGATTGTCACTCACGTGCACGAGCACCGTGTTGCCTGTGATTTCAGGCAATTGTCTGCGATTTCTCAAAACCTGTTGGCGAGTCAAAATCCGGGCTAAAATCATGCAGTCTGAACTCTGCATTAGTTTCCTTCAGGTGGTTTGTAAAGCCCACTCACCTGAGTGGGGTACACTCTGTTTGGGTTGTCATGTGGTGTGCTGGAGGGAGAGAGGAGGGGGTCAACCGTTTGGCCAGTCGCACAGTCAATGATTTAGTCATTTAGACAGCGGCCTCTGGTGGGTTCACCTGAGAACAGCGTGGGCGCCAACTGCACTCGCGAGAGACATTTGAGATGCGAAAAAGCGGTCATATTGCATATTTCGCGATCTCCAGAAACGTCCACGGGACTACGTTTTCAGAATGAGCCAGGGTTGATTTTGATATCGCATTATTTATTTGCGGTTTCCAACTAATTTTATGATCCAATACAACACCAAGAAACTTAATTGCATTTACTCTTTCTATAACTCCATTATCAATATGTAAATCTATATTATGTATACTTTTTAATTACCCAAATAACATAAATTTGTTTTACTTATAATTAATGACAATTTGTTTATGTCAAACCACAATTTCAATTTATTAATTTTTGTTTTAATCAACTCCATAAGTTTTGGTAAAATTTCCCCAGAACAAAAGATACTCGCATCATCTGCAAATGAAATAAACTTAAACAACTCTGATATCTTACACATATCATAATGTCAATTAAAAACAATTAAAAAGAAAAGTTCTGTTGACTTGAAGATGTTCTGGAGACCCAAGAATTGTTCTTCTACTATACCGCATATGTTACCTAAACGAATTATTATTAATTACTACTACCTTTATCAAGACCCAAGGTGTTTTTTACATGCATTTTTTATTTCTCTTTGCTATTTGGGCTTATTGGAATCTCATCAGAATAAAAAAAGTATCATCTTTTGATATGACGTACTTTTAGAGAAAAATAATGTCCATATATGTGGACTCGTGGTCCGAATTTACATATAACACTTTTTCCTGAATTTTCATGCATATTCATCATTCATTTTCTTGTCAGCTTAGTCCCTTTATTAATCCAGGGTCGCCAAAGTGGAACAAACATTTTACGCAGCGCATGCCCTTCCAGCCGCAACCCATCTCTGGGAAACATCCACACACTCATTAATACGCACACTCATACAATTTAGCCTACCCAATTCACCTGTACCGCATGTCTTTGGACTGTGGGGGAAACCGGAGCACCCGGAGGAAACCCACGCGAACGCAAGGAGAACATGCAAACTCCACACAGAAACGCCAACTGAGCCGAGCCGAGGTTCAAACCAGCGACCCTGCGACCTTCTTGCTGTGAGGCGACAGCAGCCCATTGCATCACCTTATGCATATTTAACATAGAATTTTTTTTTAACTTGCTTTGACTCTCAAAGAGTAAAAACAACATTTTCCCCAATTTGGACAGTTAAAAATAGAGTTTGGGACATTTAATATGCTGCAAAAGAGTTACAGGATGGCACTGTATGTCTGTAACAAAAGTGTAGTTTCACACTCATCGCTCTCGCTCTTCTGTCTCAGTGTGGCGAGTCGGTTCTGACGGCTCTGGCTGGATGTAAACTGTTGTTGGAGCTCTCTAAACAGGAGATCGAGACCGAGGCCAAGCTCTCCATGAAGGAGCTGGCGCTGAAGTTTGAGCAGATGGCTCATGGTAGGATGTGTGTTTGGTCTTTTTTGTTATCTTATAAAACCAATACGATTTCAAGCTTCTATGGCACTAACATTACTTTACAGATGTGTTTGGCACATGCTACCAAACCAAAGCAAGTCATTCCTACAAGCTGTTGATCCGCAAGTCAAAACTGTGGGGTGACGCCACCTGTCTGAAGATGGCCATAGCTGCGGATGCCCGGATCTTCTTCAGCCATGATGGAGTGCAGGTCTGGCAGCACACAAACCATTGTTAATAGTGTCATGTGATTTAAAACAAGGTTGGTGTTTTTCCTAAAAACCCCCTTTCTTTTTTTAAGTCTCTGCTGTCTCAGATCTGGTGGGGGGATATAGAAAGAGGAACTGCGTTCTGGAGACTCCTGCTGGTGATGATCTGTCCTCCTCTCTGCTACACCAACTGCATTGAATTCAGGTACAGCAGCATGTGAATGTCCTCACAGTTCAGCTTCCCTCACATTGGGCTCTATTTTGACGGTCCATGCACAGAGCGCAAAACGCAGGACGGCAAACGCTTTCAGGACGTGTCAGAACGCATTTTTGCTAACTTAAGGGCGGAAAAATCCGATTTGCGGCATGGCTCATGGTCTAAAAGGGTTGAGTTTATTTTCTTAATGAGTTATAGGTGTGTTTTTAGAATAAACCAATCAGAGTCTCATCTTCCATTACCTTTAAGAGCCAGCTGCGTTGCGCCATAAGCGCATTCGCTATTTACAAGACGTAAAGTAAGTTCACTTTCGCTTTTGCTCTCATGGATAGGGAAACCTTATCGCACAGACATCAATTAGCCTATAAATAATTAATTTCGTTTGTTAAGCGCAAAGATTTGTTTCAAAACTATTTCTAAATTCAGCTCTAATATCCTGCAAACGAAAAAATGAATAATAATAACAAAGTTTGGTCAAAATTAGCGCTGTCAAAATTAACTCGTTAACGCATGCGATTAATTTTAAATAATTAACGCGTTAAAAAAAATTAACGCAATTAACGCAGTGCAGGTTTTTTTTACTTCCTGTTGTGGTGGACGTGTTTTCAACATGCAATAAATGTAGATAAGACCAAGGAAGCACTTTTTGAAGGCAAGTTCCAGTATAAAACACGATATTAGTTGCATCACAGGTTATCCAGAGTTTCATGCAATGTCAGGTGTTTCATTTTTAACCTTCGACATCTGTTGTAAGTTGATACCGCATGGCGAACAGAAAGAAAATCCTCCGCATTTCGTGACTCGGTGTTCCTTTAAGGTAAGGTTCCTTTTTAAGGCTACACGGTAGAGTTTTAATAAGAGTATAATCTTAATCATATTAAAATCGGAGTATTGGTGTCTTATGTAAATGTACTCAGAACGTCTGGTGAAGTCACGAGCTCTCAAAGACAGGGCATTACTCTGCCTTTCAGCATGAGCCCTCCAAGTTTAGTGGTGTTGCTAAACACCACTTGCCTTTGACAGCAAAAGCCGCTATATGCCGAGAACCAATCAGAAGCGTGTATCGAATCATATGTTTTCAATGTAGCAGCGCGCTGATACGCCAGCCTTATGAGGAGACTGTTTTATTCCGTTTTCGATTTTAAAAGTCTGAGTTTGATGAACTGCATGAGCCTGTCTGACTGTCAGTGAATGGCAAATGAAAAACGTCCCTCACCTCAGATGCTACTTTGAATGAGTTTGATTTACTATACATTAAATTGCAACTCCATTTCACTAAAGACAGAGTTAAGATGCCGTTCTTTTGTCCCACAAGAATGCTATGAGGATAAACAATAGACCTTAAGTATAAAAAATTTAAAACTGCTTTTATTCTAGCTAAAATTAAAACAAATTAGACTTTCTCCAGAACAAAAAATATTTTCAGACACACTGTGAAAATTTCCTTCCTCTGTTAAACAACATTTGGGAAATATTTAAAAAAGAAAAAAAATCTAAGGGGGGCTAATAATTCTGACCTCAGTAATTATAAATAAATAGCAATGTTTTTCACATGTGTTGTTGCGATACTTTGTAGTGTGCAATTTAACATAATTGCCTCTAGGTGTCGCCAATGCAAATAAAACAAACACACACAAGAAGTGCACGTGGCGTGGACCAACGCACATTCTCACGATTATTTCATCGTTATTAAATCCAAACGTTATTGTGAAACCTGGCGTACAGAAAGTTTTTGTGCGTACACAGTGTTGATGTATGAGACCCCTGGTTTTCGTTCTTCTGACTCTTATTTTAACGGAGAGAAAGTTTTATTGCAACAGCCATTGATTGCCTTTCAGTGAACATGTCAAATTACCAATTAAAGACCACAAATTTTAGCCTAGGATTATTGGAAGATTTTCCGATTTTCCAATTTAATCTCGTTTAGCCAAATCAAGGCCAAAATTGCAGTGTGAGCCAGGCTTTACTTCACTAGTCTGCATATGTGTTTTTGGGTCAGTGTCCTATTTTGGCACACTAGCACCTAGAAATAAAATCTTAAAACCAAAATTTCACTCAATATATTACAAACTGAAAATGTGCTGCATCAGGGGAAAGACATAAGTTGTGTTTCCTCCTAGGAAAACAGATCCAGCAAAAGAAGAGAAATCGATGACGGCACCTCCATCTTCACCGACAGACAGCCATTACGAAAAGACCGTCTACTCCTTCAAAGACATCAAACACCAGTACATCAGCTTTTATTCAGTACTTCATGCATACTTATGTCTGTCAACATCTACAAAACAGCATCTGTTATCTTATGATCTTTAGAAATGAAGGCGAGAATGAGGACTCAAATCATATCAGACAGAACACAAAAGGTTTGACTTTGATTTTGAAGCTTTTGCTGAAGAATTTAATAAAACTAGTTCATCATTGCTCTACAATTTCAGCCATTCTGCTCAAAATCAATAAGTCTTTCTGTCATCAGGAGAACCTGCATTCATCGAATCAATGAAGAGTAGCTTTGTGGTCTCCCGCTGGAAGCAGTTCTGGTACGCTCCTGTCACCTCATTCATCGGCAACCTTCTGATGTACTTCCTCTTCCTGTTTCTGTATGCCTACGTGCTATTGGTGGACTTCAAGCCGCCTCCCCCTGATGGCCCGGCGGTTTCGGAGTATGTGCTGTATTTCTGGGTCTTCACTTTAGTGTGCGAGGAGATTCGAGAGGTACGGTAGATGCTTTTTTCCTACTTGCATTCTTGTACAAATATGCATTTATACCACTTTGTTTTCTTTCTCTTCCAGGCGTCCATTGCAGGCAATAAGAAGTTTCCTCAGATGTTGTTCGTGTATGCTCAGGATATGTGGAATAAGTTTGATGTTCTTGCCATTTCCCTCTTCATTACTGGTTTGTGCTGCAGGTAAACACGCCTTGATGGTTTACTATCATAAATATATTATAAGGTTTGGCTATTAAATAGAAATAAATTAAATATTCACCACAGGTGCCACCCAATATCCCAATGTCACAATCTAATGGCATGGGTGAAGGTTCAATTCATGATAGTCTTACAAATGCATGTGTGAAGATAAAGTTGAACACTCAGTTGAACTTGTGGGGTAATAAATTTGGAGGAGGGAGGGTGGTTTGCGACGAAATAGTTGGAGGGAGGTTTAGGTTGAGCTGTTGTCAGCTTTATGGGCACCAACATGGTCCATATATGCAGGAAGCACCAACTCGGAAAGAGTTGCATCAAATGCAGGAAAGAGACAGGCTGCACTGGTAAACAGTATCTTCATAATATCTTTAATTAAAATAAATGATCAACAAATTTGATCTGTCTTTACAATCTTTACAAGTGAAGGCATTAACTACATGTAACGGAGGCCAGCTAGTGAGTGCTGTGCAGGTAAACCTCACTGCTCTGACCTCTAAAGGTGCTCTAGCGACAGATGCTAGAGGCCATGGTCTTTAGCCTCCTTGGTAGAGCACCCGAATCCCGTGCGGAAGGTCTCCGGTTCGATACCAGCTCGGAGCGGGTTGGGTGGCGGGGTTACATTGGTGCCGTGACCTGGATGGGAGTGAGGTTTAGGGGGGTGAGTGTAACGGAGGCCAGCTAGTGAGTGCTGTGCAGGTAAACCTCACTGCTCTGACCTCTAAAGGTGCTCTAGCGACAGACGCTAAAGGGCCATGGTCTTTAGCCTCCTTGGTAGAGCACCCGAATCCCGTGCGGAAGGTCTCCGGTTTGATACCAGCTCGGAGCGGGTTGGGTGGCATAGGACCGACAAGGTTACATACACACAATATTAATTCCCAATTTAAAAAATACTATAAACTATGAAATACTATTAAAGAAAATACCTAAATAACAGATAAATCCAAATTTCGAATGCAAGGGAGCTGCGTTCCAGACCAGTTCAGCTCAATGACGTATATTGACACAGCCTGTAGTCCCATTTAGCAACTTGATAGCAATCGTCTTATTAAAGAAGTGTAACCGATTAAAAAAATCAAGAGTGTGCTGTAACTGATGCGTTTTATGTCGTAGAATAAAATGTGAAAGTATCTTACGTTTGTGTTAGCCACAGACCTTATTTAAGCGATTGAACTGAAATCCCATTGAAAAAACCCATTGACTTTAGGATGAGGGAACCAGAACTGCTAAAATGCTAACTCGCTTCCGGGTTTTTGCACACAAATTGACCTCATAATTCCTCCACTCTATTGGGAACCAGTGGACAAGAATATAGCATCTGGCAAATATCTAGGATCAAAACTCAGATCAACAAAACAGAATTCTTATAAAACAAGTGACTACTGGTAAATTGAGACCACACACTTGTATTAATGATGCGAACGCACACAAAACTTTGTGTACGCCAGGTTTCACGTTTGTATTTACTAACGATGAAATAAACGTGAGAATGTGCGTTGGTCCGCGCCAACTTCATGTCTGGCGTACGTGCATTTCTTGTGTGTGTTTGTTTTATTTCCAATGGCGACTCCTAGAGGCTATTATGTTCAATTTCTCACTACAACGTATCGCACAAACACATCTGAAAAACATTGCTGTTCATTTATAATTTATTAAATGGGTTCATTGACACAATATATATATATTTTTTTACCAATTATGTGATTTAGAACATATAAAAGCATTTGCAAATGTACACGACCCTTAATCTATGGCAATGGCAGTGTTGGCCTTATTAGAGGACATCATCAATGGTCGAACCGAAGGCTCCAAGGTAGCAGGGTGGGCGGTGGGTGGCTTCTTGGTGAGTGATGTTATGATATTATTCCAGCTTAGTTTTTTATTTATTTATTTTTTTTTCTGAGGGTAATTATTTAACTGCATATCAGGAGACCGCAGTTATCCATTAAAGATGTGGCTGTTAACCCCCCTCAACAACCCACAAACTGACCAAGAGTGCAGATACAATGATGCCTATTCTCGCACTCGTCAGTTGTAGAGCGGGCCATTGGGCAGCTGAAATGCCGGTGGTGCTGCCTTGAAAAGAGTGGAGGGGTACTGCTATACCACCCGAACAAAGTGTTCCTCTAATACATCTGTGTCTCCCACAGACACGGATACTACTCCAGACTGTAGTGTCGCCCACAATTGAGGCCTCTCTCTCCTCAAAGGGTGTTAGTTCAGCATCCCCTGTTCTTCCGCCTGTTCGTTCCACACTTTTACGGTGCTTCGCTCTTCTCTTCATAACCTGCACCTTTACATCAGACCATTTTTTTTTTAGTTCACTCACAATGTGATGTTCAGACCCCACTGTGTTAACTGCGTCAGCTAAACTCTCCCACTCTATTTTTATTCTTATGTTATTAATTCCGGAGGACAAACTTGCAAATAACACCGTTTTTCTCCGTTCTACCTCTAATAGGAACACCTCCAGTTCACAGTCTGTGAAGTTTCTCCTCTTGCTTTTGCCTTTGGCTTTTCATTTGGTTTTGCCAAAGTGGAGTCATTAGCATATTTATACAGTGGGAGGAGGCAGGGAGGTCTTTTTACGCTCGTGCACGTGCGCTCAGTTTCATGTTAATTTGGATATACAAACAGAATATGCGTGGGATTCCGCATGAGCAGTGTTTTGTACATCTGTTTTTTTTGCTGCGTATGCACATTTACAGCTTTGTCTGTACATAATTTTTTAGTATTACTTCAACGCAAGTCGTTGTACATGAGACCCTGGGACTTTTAAAAATGATTGAAGTTTTTCATTGCGTGGTATCTGTTATGTGAATTCCTAAGTTCAGAAAAAGCATTCTTACAGTGTGCGTTCTGCTTTCTTTTTGCTGATCATCTGTGACTGTGTATTTTTGTTTCTGTCTCAGGATGTTCAGCTGGTCATTCAACATGGGTCGTGGTATACTGTGTGTGGACTACATGGTCTTCACTCTCAGACTCATACACATTTTCGCCATTCACAGACAGCTGGGTCCCAAAATCATCATACTCGGCAAAATGGTGAGACAAACAGAGGTGTTCAACATCCTAAATCTGTATGCATGTGATACACTGCCATAAAATCAAGCTGTTTATGGACGACTGTAGCAGAGAGGCATGGTCGTACCATAATATTTTTATCTGGTCAATAAGTGCATATCTAGAAAATAAGCTCAACTGTATCATGTGTTTCAAATGGGTCTCTCTGCATTTCCCTGAAGAACAGAGATGCTGAGAAAGCATGAGAGGTGACCTATTAGTAATCAGATGATCATGTTGTGTTTTTCCACTGTTTATCAAGATGAGCAGAGGTGGCAACAACATATACATTCAATATGGAGGGAGACAACCCCTGCTCTATCTTCTCCTGATAATAATAATAATAATTCCTCACATTTATATAACACTTTTCTGGGCAATCAAAGTGCTACACATAGAGGGGGATCTCCTCATCCACCACCAGTGTGCAGCATCCACACCACACACACCACCTGATTGGTAGAGAGGAGACAGAGTGATGAAGCCAATTATGATATGGGGAGGATTAGGAGGCTATGATGGACAAATTTGGCCAGGATGCCGGGGTTAAACCCCTACTCTTGGGATTTTTAACCACCACAGAGAGTCAGGACCTCAGTTTAACGTCTCATCTGAAAGACAGCGCTCACTGAGCAGTATAGCGTCCCCTTCACTATACTGGG